CTCTTGTCCAACCTGTTGAGGAAGGGAATGAAGTTTGTTTGGGGTCTGGAAAAACAATAGGTATTCATGGACCTCAAGGTGGCATTCACTACTGACCCCATCCTTCACCATCCTGACCCATTGCAGCCCTTCATCATGGAGATGGATGCCTCAGATGTTGCAGTGGGGGCAGTGTTGCTACAAGCCTTGGGTTCTTCTAGAAAGCTGTTTCTGTGTGCCTACTACTTGCCAAAGTGGAACATGATGGAATGCCACTAAACTACATGGGATAAGGAACTCTTGGCCATGAAACTGGCTTTTGAAACATGGCGACACCACCTGGAAGGGGTGCGGCACCAGATAGAGGTGTGCACAGACCACCAGAATCTGTAAATTTACAAATCGTGAGAAAACTGAACCAATATCAGATTCAATGGTCACTTTTCTTTGCTCGGCTTGATTTTGGGGTGTATACTCAGAATAAAGTAAGGTAAAGGTTCCCCTCACACTTATGTGCTAGTCGTTTCCGACTCTAGGGGGTGGTGCTCATCTCCATTTCAAAGCTGAAGAGCCAGCGCTGTCCAAAGACATCTCCATGGTCATGTGGCCAGTATGACTAAACGCCGAAGGCGCACGGAATGCTGTTACCTTCCCACCAAAAGTGGTTCCTATTTTTCTACTTGCATTTTTACATGCTTTTGAACTATTAGGTTAGCAGAAGCTGGGACAAGTAACGGGAGCTCACCCTGTTACGCGGCTCTAGGGATTCAAACCGCTGAACTGCCGACCTTCTGATTGACAAGCTCAGCGTCTTGCCACTGAGCCACTGCAACCCCATTCTCCGCAGGTCCCCCCCCCCCAGCGTGCCCTACCTTTCTCCTCCATTTCTCCCATGGAGAGGAACCTGCGGAGGGTGGAACCTGTGGAGATCAGGGAAGGCACAAGTGGCAGAAATGCAGGAGAAAGATAGGGCACACTGGGGGGTGGGGGAACTGCGGAGATTGGGGAAGTCCCCGCTCCCTGCACGGCAGAGCCTCGAAGAACAGCTGGCTGGCAGGAGACACACGCACATGCACAGTGGAACTGGGCTGGGGTGATGGCTGGCATGCTCGCAGAAAGGGCTCTGCGTGCCACTTGTGGCATGCGTGCCATAGGTTCGCCATCACAGAACTAATAGAAAAGAATATGAAGTACAATAAGAATCTCCTTGTAGCTTTTGTAGACCAAGAGGAAGCATTTGACAGAGTAGACAGGAAAATACTATGGCAAACAATGGCCCAATATGGAGTAAGCAAACATCTTATTAGATTATGTAAAAGGTTATACAATGATTGCAGAAATGTAGTTAGAACAAACAAGGAACATTGGATCCCTTTGCAGTAACATCTGGAGTAAAACAGGAATGTATACTATCACCACTACTGTGTTTCCCTGAAAATACGACCTGTCCTGAAACTAAAGCCTTGCCACATTTTTCACATGGGCAAAAATATAAGCCCACCCCTGAAAATAACCCCCCTGGACAATCCCCCCCCCTCCTGCCAGGCAGAGCACCGCTTGCTGACCTAGCGGTATCCCGAAGGTGCCAAGCAATGGGAACGAGGTGGGGGGCAAAGGCACTTGCATTGCTTGGTGTTTTCGGGGTACCACTAGGTCGGTCAGCGGCGCTGTGCCCAGCTGAAGAGGGGGGTTGCTGGGCAGCTGCTCTCTTGTGAGCGGACTCCCGAAGAGCTGGGCACAGTCTCAGGGTCGAATGGCTGTGTTGCGCTGTTGCAGCAGCAACACAGCAGCCATGAGATGACCACACTCGCGAGCAGCCGCCTGGCAATCCCCCTTTCCAGCCGGGCACAACGACACTGACTGACCTAGTGGTACCCAGAAGACACCAAGCAATGCAAGCGCCTGTTCATCGCCCTCAGCCTCCCGTGGCTCGGCACCTTCAGAATGCCCCTAGGTAAGTGAATGGGACTCTGCATGGCTGGAGAGGGGGGTTGCGCGAGCAGCTTTTCCGCTCCCCGCTTGCGCTACTCACAGGCTCACGATGCCCTTGGCTAACTCTACAGTACTTGCAGATCCAGGGTATCTCCGTTGCTGGCGCTGCCTGTCGCTTGGTTTTTTTTTTTCAGCTTTCAAAGCACAGAGGACGGATGCTGCTCTGGGAGTACGCTCTATGGTTGTGGGCTGCAGAGTGTACAACCATAGAGCGTACTCCCAGAGTGGCATCTGTCGTCCATTGTGGCTTCCAAAGCACGGAGGTAGGATACCACTCTGGGAGTACACTCTATGATTGTACGTTCTGCAGCCCACAACCATAGAGCATACTTCCAGAGCAGCATCCGTCCTCCGTGCTTTGAAAGCCAAAAAAACAAAAAAAAACGGCAGGCAAGGTGGTAGTAATCCTGATGTTAATCCCTGTTTATCCATGAATAATTTCTTATTGCAAGATGCTGTTTCTCATCTTTTTTTCTGGTACAGTCATTATTTAGAGAAGACACATAAAGAAAGCATGACAAAGAAGAGCAAAGAGAACAAGCCTGCTTTGGGCACAGAGTGAGCAAGTCTTTGAAAAGTTGGAGGCCACAACTCATCCTAGTACCTTTCTAGATTGCTGAAAGAGGACTTCTGGTAATGCCATATTACCAGAATGGATGCAGCCAAAATTATTTTTCCTGTTTTTCCTTGGGAGAAGGTTTAAGAGGAAGGATGGAGTGAATAAACTATTACTTTTCCCACTCTTAAAACTACTCAAAACTGGGCTGAAGTCATTGTACCCAAATTTAGCAATTTTGCTGCCAAAATTTGGCATATGATCACAGGGTGCTACCGTGTTTCCCTGAAAATAAGACAGGGTCTTATTTTCTCCCCCCCCCCGAAATAAGCACTTGGCCTTATTTTCAGGGAGGTCTTATTTTTGAGGTGCAGGAGGTGGTGAGCGTGGTCACCTCATGGCTGTGGCATAATATTTTTGGGGAGGGCTTATTTTTGTGCATGAGCTCAAAAGCCCAATTGGGCTTATTATCTGGGGAGGTCTTATTTTTAGGGAAACAGGTAGGGGAGAGGGGTGGGTTTCACCTGGTACGCCCCGGTACACACGTACCGGATGGTCAAATGAACGTGCCTTTCCGTACCTGTTGGTCCAGTGGCACCATACCAGGACACTCCCTCCAATCTCTCTCCCCCCACCCGCCCAGTCGCAGCTCACTTGCTCGCTTGCCCCGCCCGTCCACACCATGCTTGCCTCGCCTGCTGCTCACTGATTGGCTGGCTTGCCAATCGCCCCACCTCTGAGAGCCCTACTTAAACCGCGATGAGGACGGTCCACTTACCTCTTTTCCTGTTTGGCTCTCACGTCGTCACTTGCTAGCTGATTGGATCAGATCCTCGTCTCACTTGCCTTCCCTGTTGCTATCAGTAAACTAAGCGTGGGGGGGGGGGCCTGCAGCGGGAGCCTAGGCAAAGTTGACTGTATTCTAAGGCCTTCGCGAGGTCCCTGGGCTTGCTTAGACCGCGTGGCCGCAAGTAAGTGCGGGGACAGGGGGGCAACGGGAAGCCAACTGGAGTGGCCTGCCAAGGCTCTGTGCTCTGGACGAGTCCAGGGATCCCTTGTGACCTTCATTCCAGCTGATCCCTGAGGTCGCCTAGATCGTAGGAGTGCGTGCCGCTCGGCTGAGACCTTTCTTGCCACCCCACCCCACCCAGTCCCCAGCCTCGCCTGGATGGCTAAGCCTGCGAGGAGGGCCTAGCTGACTGGGTTGTCGCTGTGTGCCTCCAGTCCAGCTTACCTGCTGCCTGGTCACCTGCCTGCTGCCTGCATCCATCGCATTGGAGAGCTGCTGATTCTGCTGGTAAGTGACTTGGGGTTTTTTTCTTTACGCTTTAAATGGTTTTTTAAAGGATATTTTATTTATTGTTTATAGAATACCTTTTTTAATGGTTTTAAGGGAGGGAATGGTATTTTTAATTATTGTTTATAGAATATGTTTTTTTAATGGTTTATAGGGATTTTTTTATTGTTTATAGAATATGTTTATTACAAGAAATGTTATTGCTTTTTGCAAATGTTTTATTTGAGATGCAATATGTTGCTTTTAAGTGTGCAGGTTGGTGCATGGTTTTCGAGATTTTGTGTGTTTCTGTAGTGAATTCACTACAGAAATAAACACAAAATCTTGCAAGCTGCCTTGCACCAACCTGGCCTGCCCATAGAAAAGCAGCCACTTTGAGGCACATAAATTTTATTTATGTACATATGTGATACCTGGTTGTTGNAAAAAAGTTTTTGCACTCTGCAGAACAAGTAAAAAATGGCCCTTTTTTGTGAAAATGGCCCATTTTTTGTCAAAAAAATTGCATGCATAGAGTGCTGCTGGGGGCTGGGGGAGGCAAAAACAGCCCATTTTTTGGTCATTTCTGCCCTCTCCAGCCCCAGGAAAGCTTCTGAAAGCCTCCATAAGGGTATGCACAGCCATTTGGTGAAGGGGCGGTGCTTCAGGAGGCAAAAAAAAAAAATGCTGTATTCGGTGTATAAGACGCACCCAGATTTTCAGCCACTTTTTTGAGGAAAAAAGGTGCGTCATATTCTGAAAAATATGGTAACTACAAAGGTCTTATAAAAGAGTTTTACTTACTTTTACTTAGATAGGATTTTAAATCAATTGCTTAAAACTCTGAAAATGTCATAAATGCTATTTTAATACAAACCTTAACGCTTCTATGTCTCCAAATGTCAAAATTAAAATAATGTAATCTTTAAATATTTGTATAGAAAAATAATTTGACCTCTTTTGAATAAAAAGAACTACACTGGATCTACTTAGTTTTTCCAGATGCAGTTAAATTAAACAATAAATTAATATAAAACCAGCAGGATACAGGAACAGGAGAAGACTGTCTTTAATTTCTAGAATGCAAACCCAACTCGTAACCAAAGCCATCACTGCATATTAGAATAAAGCAGCTGCAGAAAATAGAAATATAGCCATCCAGACTATGGAATATTTTAGAAAAGATGCAATACTTACTACTGGAAGTGGCAAGTTCTTTTGGACTGGATGCCATTGGTTGAGCACACATTTGACAGAGACAGTCTCTTCCATTAAAGGTAACCCGGTCTCCTGGTGGAAAAGGACGTCTGAGAAACAAAAGAAGCATTTTAATGCAACGCTATCTCTGGGGTTACATTATCTTTCTCAGCTCCTTCCCATTGTTGCCACTGCTGTAAAAGAAGTCTCTTGCAAGGAAAAGGGCCAAAGCCTGTTTAAAATGCAGATAGACATCTGGAGAAAATCCAAACACTAAATGTATCTCAAGAAGGAAAAAAAATAATGATAGAAAAAACCCTGACCAATACATTTTTATTTCAAAGGTTCGTTTGTTTTAAAAAGCACAGGTCTATATGTGTTTTTATTAAGAAATGAAGCCTGTTCATTAATAGTTTGAATGCTCAAACGAAAAGTCTATTATTGTTTCACTGAAAGTATATGAGATTAAATAGTTCATTTTTTTGGCAATCAATGGAAGCAACAAATCCCAGAATTTAAGCAGTTCTTGGTGTTTTAAACAAGCAGAAAGCTCAGCTACATTACTTTAGGAAAAGAAAGGTGAGTTGATTAAAAGTAGATACCATAGGAATGAACAAATCCTAAAACTGCTATAAAAAAATTAAATCAGAAATTCTGACATGAAGGAGTTTCAGTATTCAACAAGATCCACTTCTTCAGAAAGTAAACAACAGGTAGAAATAAGAATAACTGCCAGAATAACAAGTCAGATCAATGGTCCATCCAGCTGTCCATTACACAATCTATTGGCTGAGGCTCTGCAGAGTTTCAAAGACTTTTTTTTTCTACAGTGCTATCCAGACTTTGTGAAAGGGTAAGGAGGATAATTGTCCTGTATACCCCATGATTCAAATAAATTTAAATATATGAAAGTATCACATAAATAAAAATACATTTTCCAAGGCATTGTTTCTGAGTCAAAACATAGCACCCAAAGATACATCAGCATTTTTATTATTATTTATTTTACTGAAATTACAGATAGACAATGTTGTGAGAAAAAAGGGACATTTTGCCTCTAAAATTCCCGATCTTAAAAGGCCTGACACCACCTGCACACTTACGGTAGAAGTATTTCCTGTAAAAGATTAATGGGAAACCCATAAACTTCCATAACCTTATGGAAATTTAGAGAAAATTATCTCAACTGTTCATCATGTAGGGATAACCAAAATACAATAGTCTATTACCCGATCTTGAGCGAAGGAGAAACAGCCTCCAGAATCCAATATTTCCAAGATGCCTTTTATTAAATACTAGCTAAAGCAAGAATTATATCTCTTAACTTCTATGATCACGTATGTTTAGGGATATTCAAGGTTATCCAGTATTTAAGTCTTTGCAAATGAGCAGCTAAAAAAATGAAACCCATAGTGAATATACGTCAATTACATACACACACAGACACCCATATACAAATATATATAATTCAACATATCAGTAAAAATCAATATTTTTTTCATTTTTTAAAATATTTCTTCTTTTTTTCTCTAGTATTTATGTTCTTTAAATCTTAATTCTCCCTTGACACCCAAAATGATAAAGGAAGAGAAAAAGGAGGGGAAAGGGGAAGGAGGACAAGAAGGAACAGGAGGAGGAGGAGGAGAAGGAACAGGAGGAGGAAGAACAGGAGGAGGAGGAGGAGGAGGAGGAG